TTTTTTGTGTGTTTTTTTTTTGGGGGGGGGGGGGGGGTTCACCATAACCAGTTTGATCAGCTTCCAAGAAGTGGGGCTGAACCCATTTATTCATATTGGGAGCTTGACAAAAATTTTAAACTGGTGGCACTGAGGATAAGGTTTTACTGCTGGAAGGGATCATGTTCCCCTGCAAAATTGTTAGCTGACACAGCACCCAGATTCTTCTTCATTAAAAACCTGAATTGTAGCTTTCAGTGCAGTTATTCCAAATCATACATACATACTCCAGCAAGAGCTGGAGTGCTTCCAGCTATGTATTTCTAACGCATTTTGAAATATACTTGCATTCTTCAAATTGTAATTTTATTACCATTCAGTATGAGTTTCAGAGAATGACTTTTTATTGTCTCCACTCAATAAGAGCTAACCTAGACGCTATGTGCAAATTGCTACTGCCTGCAACAGAGTTGGTATTCTAAATGCCACTGTGTTTAAAAAATGTTTTTTAATTTTGTGAATACATACATTAATCTTATGAATACTACATTTGCATTGGTTTTATGCAGCTAGCTAACTGTTCCTTTTTCCTCCACAACTGATTTTGAAGATCTTTTCCTGCACTGACAGCAGCATGATCTGTATGGGGAGAGGCTGGGAAATGAGGGGGAGTGTATACCTTCTGTCAGTAAGGTACTAGATCCTCTCTTTCAAATTTCCTATAGAATCAATCAGGGTACCTTAAAAAAAAAAAAAAGAAATTTCCAGCTTCTGGGCATGGATATTCACTGCTTATTTATTCATTTATTTATTTTGTAATAAAATAGTACTGTTTCTTCTCACATAGACTAGTGTGTATGATCCATAAATACGTTTGTAAAATGTATCTGTAGCATGTAACAGAATCCTTTAGAATATTCTGTGAAAATTTGTATTTTTAGTTGATAGCACTTTAAGAACATTTACATCCTTCATCTTGACATTTTTAAATAAAACATTTTTTTGCCTACAGAATTAAGTTTACAGTGTCATCACAGTATTATAGCTTGTTTAAAAATACATACAGCATTAATGGTAATTACAAGCAAGCTATATACTTGAGCAAGGTTTTTGTAATTTTACATTTTTTCTACTTTTTAAAACAATTACATATGTTAATATTACATCCATCACTTTGTTAGAAAATATTACTTATATATGCTACTCACAATAGATCTGTCATTTTTCTGTGACATAATATTACAGGTTCTGAAAATAGAAACACACCATTGTATGTTTGGTTTAAAAATAATTACAAGCCTAGTTAAAAAAGGTGCATTAGGCTTGCTCTTTCCTTGGTAAGTTAGGTTCCACTAACGTTGGTTGTCTTTAATCCACTTATGGTTGGAATGCCACTAGCACCTCTCGGCACTGAACCTTACGCGAAAGAAATACGGACTTACCACCTGCTAACAAATGGAGGGCTCGGTCCCGTGTGCTTTCTGCTGGAACTCTTCCTGAAGATGTGAAGAGTTCTTCAGCTACAGGCTTTCAGGGCCAGGTTGCTACTGCTGAGTATCTCTGAGTCTGATTTACTTAAGACTCCAATTGGATTTCAAAATCTTCAGCCAGATGATTAGATCAGTGCAAGACAACACAACTCCACTGTTTGGTTGGGTCGGGGTTTTTTTCGTGGTGTTTTTTGTTGGTGTTTTTTTCTTTTTTTTTTTTTTTTTTTTTCCCCAATTTGCTGTGTTGGTTTTCATTAACCA